TACACACATGCATGTGCACACAGAGAGTCTGCTGTTAAAGCCTACAAATGTGTCCAGATTCACATGTCTGAACTGGTAGATTAGATGTGTTTTAAAAAGAAGGGCTGTGGTTTTAGTAGAAACTTCATGACTTGAATCCAGCCAGTCCAGCCCTCCTTCCACCTCTTCAGTCTCTGGTCAGCGTGACTTATCAGTTCTTGGATCCAAGCAAGAAAGAGCTCCTGTAGATTCTGAAGATGTGACCCAATTCTACATTGTGTGCTAATTGCTGCCTGAGCTTGTCTAGTTTGATGGATCTGAGTCACAGGATCTTAATATTGAGGTAAGACCCTAAGCTGGTAGCTGTTAGAGGAATTGCTCAAAGTGCATTTATCACTGTGAGGCACTGCACAGTGACCCTCACTGCTGTGCTTCCAGCTTAGCTGCCATAGTGCTCCTTCCTCAGCCTGCTGGCACTTGTGCCTAAATAATGACCTTGCAAGATGACTAAATTTTATTTTGATACTAAGCTTTTCCTAAGTAAGTCTGATACATGATTACTTTTATATCAATGAATAAAAAGGGGCTACTAGACATACATCTAAAATGGAACCTGTCCATTGATGTCTGTAAGGTTTAAATTGCCTCAGTCCAGGACAGTACCCTCTGTCTAGGCAGGGGTGCCACACAGTCGCAGGATCATGGCTGAAGCGGTCAGCCTCATTTTGTTTGAATGGTAATGTAGTTGAAAACTTTTCCTGAATGCAAGCTTAAGTTGTAATGGGAAACCTTTACTGAACTCTTGCTCAGTGTTTCATTCTCTTAAGATTACCAAAATAAATATTTGGTTACATAATCTTTTTTCTATTCAACACTCAAAATATTCAATAAGAGATGGAGCATTTCCCTGTATCAGGTTAGGTTTCAAACTTGTTGATATTGGAATAGGTTTGTTTGTTGCTACCCTAATAAAATACTGATCACTTTTCTGGTGTATGATTTTTAAAGTTTCCCAGTTCACAGTGACTCAGAATGCAAGGTAGATTAAATCAAATGGTGGGATCATCGTGTCAGAAATGCACACACTTCTTACTGAAAGCTCTTTCGTGCTGTGTGACTGATTCAGTAGTGGCTTAGAGTCTTCTGTAGGAAAGAAGGTGCTGACGTCTAAAAGTAAGCAAGTGGTGGTAAAAATAAATTGTACTCATTTTAGCTTCAGGCTAAGAACTTTATAAAACTTGTGTCAGGTTCTCTTGCTGGATTAATGTAAACTGCTTTGTTTGCAGGGTTTATTGTCATCCCAAAACCAGGCCAATTCTCCAAGTGGAACTGTAGTATAGCCATCACACTACTGCTAGCAAATCTCTGAACGCAGGACAAGAAGTAATGACAGTGGAACCAGGAGCTGTTCTTCAGGCAAAGAGCATCACAAATTATAATGTGGCAGAGTGTAAACATGGAATTATGTGAATCACATAGTAATTTGCAAAGGAACAATGTAATGAGTTATTATTACAGCTAATACTGCTAGGCTGCTCACCCAAGGAAGAGTTTTCACTTTAAAAAAAAAAAAAAAAAAAAAAAGCTTCCTTTGGTGCTGCAGGAAAAAATAGTAACATTTTGGGGTTTCTTTATACTTTTCAAGTCCAGTGTAATTTAATCTCTCTATATAAATATATAAATAAAATATATATATATAGTGTAAAGTAAAGTATGTTTCTTAAATTCAAGTAAGCTCAATGGTTAAACTAGTACTTCACCATTGTTTATTTTGCACTGATTTTTTTAACCAGAGATGGCTAGAAGACAGCCTGGAATGCACTCATGGAAAATGAAAGTCATTACTTTCTGGCTTCAAAATGTTATTCAGGAAGATGGATGCTGCAATCATAGATTTTTAAAACAAAATTGTTTTGCACTTAACTAGTTTAATGCTAATAGAGAATTACTTTAAAACTGGTGTCCTGACACCAGAGAAACTGTTGTGGAGAAAGATCCTTTGTATCTATGAAACATTTATTTTAATATTGTTGTTTCCAACTGCAATCAGCTCTGTATTATATGTATAAATAATGTAATTCAGTGATGGGGGAGGGGAGTAATGGATCATTACACTAGAAATTCTCATTCATTTAAGAAAGTGATATTTCTAATTCAGAAAATACATATTAAACTATCTTGAATATGCATTTTTGTTTACTTTCTGTTCAAATTCGATCACTTTTGATGTAATCAATCCTTTGTTGAATTAAATGTTTGGTACAGAAATACCATCTAAACTTTGTAGGACAAATTCCTTTCAAAAATATCTCATCTAGAACACTGCTTCATATTTAATATAGTTGGATTTCAGTTAGGAAAGTGAAATAATTGTTTTGTTTTCATTCTTGATGTTTTATCTCTAAATACATCATATAGTGGAAGTCTTGCAGACAGACAGCTTTGTGGGGTAAGGAGTTTGTAATCACAGTTTCATGTATTTGTCTCAGAGTTGTGAAGGATCCAGCAGTAGTACATGTACACACTTTCTGACTTGGCAGTCTAAAATTAGGTCAACACATTTCAGCAGATGCATTTCTGACACAACTTGTTTGTCTTACATCAGGTATCTCACAATTCCATGTTCTTAAACCTGGTGTTACAGCAATAGACATACCCGTGTATTTGTATAGTTTGGTGCTGCTTGTCTGAACATGTTACTTTTAATTGGTCACCAACAAACCACTTAAACTGGTTTTAGTAACATTAAAAAAAAAAACCAAAACAAACAAACAACCCAAGAGCTGCTGCTCCATGTCAAGCCCCAGAATGCCAGAAGACAGAAGCACCCGCCAGTCTTTGCTGTACCCGATGCAGCAACATTCACCCTGAGGCCTTTGCTGAGCCGTGCAGTGCAGGGCACACATTGATGCCCTCCCTGCACTCCAACAATAAAGCTGAGTAGAATTTTTTACATTGCAAGTAAACTAGACATTTTCTGGCATGAGAAGTTGTTTTTTTTTTTTTCAGGAAATGAATTAAAATTTTGGAAGAAACAACTGCAGTAGCTACTTGTAACTAAGTCTTATCTTGTAATGCAGCTAAGATGTAGAAACCTGCCAGATACACTTGTAAACTGGCAAATAGATTGTGAACTTTATTAAAGAAAGATGGAGCTGTACTTACAATTCTCATCTACTTATGTTCCTTCTAAGATATGAGGAATGGGGAAAATATTGAAACTGAGCAGGATTATTGTTCAGAGGTTTTGTTTTATTAGTGTAGTGGGTTTAACTGTTAAAATACAGATAAACCTTGTCACTGAAAACTAGTAGAGGCATCTCCCTGTAGACTTTTTATATAAACACTTCATATGGTCTGAGTCTCAAAATGAAACAGTTGAGAAAATATGTAATAACTTTAAAGACTTTTTTCCATCAGCTGGAAAAGCACAAAATCAGTACAAAAAGGACCATAGTATCCAATGTGAGGGTAGTAACAGCAGCAACTCACATCTGCATTTGTGGAGTACGTCCCTGCTACAAATCTTAGTCCAACAGCATCAAAAGGAATGTATGTGGTTTTTCTTTTTTCAGCCTCTTCTTTACTATTAGGCAATCATCTAGAAGCTTGAACTGTCCATGCCACCCTTTATTTCATATGGAAAAAAAAAATATTTTAGGAAGAAAAGGGCTACTTAATAACCTACCTGGAAAGAACTCAGAGCTCTACAATAGATACAGCTCTTAATAAATAACTTTTTCCTGCTATATTAAAAAAAAAAATTACGAGTGGATGACAAATCATCTCAGTATGGAATTTTAGCTGGAAGACTGAGGGTAGAAACAATACTTGCCAGTTTGTAGTTTAAAGTTGAGTGTATTTTAACTATAAAGCAGGTAAGGAAACTCAAGTTTGCCTACTAGTTGAACAGCCAGAGAAGTTTAAGTTGTCTCCAGAGGTATAACAGCAAAGAACTTGTTATGAAATAAATACCTGTGAAGCACCATTTGTGCCAAACTGTGTAAGATCCACCTGAAAACATAAAATAAATTAAAACATTCCAATGTGGTCCGTCACTTCAAATTTCCAGTTTTCATAGCAGATTTCCTTTTCATTGTAACAGCCTGATTGCCCCAGGTACAGAGTACATTAGAGAGAATTGCTGGTAACATGAGATATTACTCTGATATGCTTTTCTCTCAAAGTTAAAACTTACCAAAATTTCCAACTTCATCTTTTCCAAGAAAACAACTGCTTTCCTAGTGTATGAGTAATTACCTACCTGATATATTAATTACAGAAGCAAAGCAGTAACACTTTTGAAAACAGGAAAGTATCTTGTGCATACATGATCTGAGGGAATTTTTTTTTTTTTCCCTGTTGAAAAACTTTAACTTCAGAATCTGTGGTTTGAGGTTTCTAGAAAAAGATTATGGGAAGCTCCCAATACAATTAGCATGTCTCCATCAGGAATATACTTTTTATAATATGAGCCTTGGCCTATTGCACAATTCTAGTAAGAGAGCTCTGATTCTGAATGATCTATCAAATGGTCAAATGTAGGGAGAAGAATCTGTCCTTTTTCTTTTTTTAAATCTTGTAAGAAATGAGTAATTGCAGAGAGCAAGATCTCTCAGATACACTAATATTTTTAGACCATCATTTTTACTGCTGCACACCATATTCCACTGCAAATGTGTTAGCACCAAGCAACTCACCTTCTTCCTCTCTGGAAAAAAACATTGGATAAGCTCATGGCACCTTTTGCTCGAGGTTGGAAGTTACTGTTACACTGTGTTGCCTGTAGAACTGCAGTCCTTAATTCCATCCCCTAAGCTTAGTATCACGTGTGTGTGTGTGTGTGTGTGTGTGTGTGTGTGTGTGCGCGCGCGTGCGCGCGCCTATACTAGGTATTCAAACAAATACTGGATTGCCTTATTGTTGATGTTCTCTATCTGTTCTGTCAGTATGGGCTGCTAACATGACAGCATGACAAAGTGGGGAGATGTTTCACTGTAACAGAGCAGTAACACTGAGCCAGTCATGGTCAGGCACATATTTTCTGCTTAGAACTGGAGGAAAGAACATCCATCCAGTATGAGTTTCAATTAAATAAGAGCAGTTAGTTATACTGTTATGTTCTGCTGTTTAATTCTCCCTTTCACTGTACTGGTATAGAATACTCCTCTGATAGAACACTGCTTATGTATTTGTTCAGTCCTACTAAGAGAAATCTGCTATTCCCCTGCCATATCTAGGACGAGTAGCAGCAATACAGGTTTCCCTGCAGAGCCTTGTTCATTCACTGTAGCCTTATTTTACAAGAATTCTTGCCAGGGCTGGGATGTTTTTCCAGTCTTGCTATTGAGATTCTCAAAGTTTGCCGTGAAGAAATGGAGTAAAATGAGCAAAGGAACAGCAGGCCATGATGCAGGTGCAAAATATCAACTTGGATAGTCAATTCTGAATCAATACTAAAAACCAATTCCCACAGTATGCACCACATTTAGTCTACTAATATTTTCACATATTAAAAAGTCTGCTAGTAAACATCATGTTGATTCTAAGTACAGTATATGAAAATAATACCTTCTTCAAAACATGAAGACAAGCGTAAGATAGACAAGTGCTTTTAAGCAGAAGATCTCAAAAGGATTCATAAACTTGAGTCTCATGAGCTTCCCCACATTGAAAAGCTATCATGTGGAATTTGGGCATGCTCAAAGTAACCCAGAAGCTGAATGGTAGAACAAGGAACAGGATCTAATGCAGTCACAACACAATCCTACAACTGTTGAGATGCAGATTCTTAAAAAAACAACCAACCAACCAACATAACAAAAAAGCCACCTACTGGAAAACCTGTAAGTGAGAAGAGTCATTACCTTCACAAATGCATAGCCTAGTAAGAGAGCTGAGAGCATAATTGGCATAACTTTTATTCTACATGACTAGTATTTTTTCTAAAATCTTTATGTTGACGTGTATTTTACTGCATTGTTTGAGCTGCATCTTAACTGATTAGAATAAACCGTTTGGATTTAGAGCATCAATCTTTTAAGCAACTAGCCACAGTATCAGTCATTGTTAAAACGATTAATATTATTATCAATGGCTTGAAGAAAACTATGACTTAAATTTTATTTGCTTTTGAATCAGATAGAAAGCTGCTTTTCCTTTTAGTCAATTTATAGTTATATACAAATATTAAGCAGTTACAGAAACTACATCAAAATCAGGTATTTCATATGATTGCATAATCTCCACATTCTCAATAAAGCCTGAGATTACTGTACACAGGAGGTGAATACTTTCCAGAGTTGACCAAAAAGTAAATATCTTTTACATCTAAAAAAATATACAGAAGTTAACTGTCATTTACAATATAATATGAAAACTTGTTTTTTGTAGATAACATTTCGTTCCTAATACTGAAGCTCAAAGAAGCCTTTCACATTATTTTTAACCAACCTCTTCTATCAGGTTCTAAAAAGAAAAACTACTATGGATGTTCAATGCAGAATGCTCTCTAAGCTCTGCCAGAACAATGCTATAACTAAATATTGAGACCCTTCAGGAACAGAATACCAAACTGGTAGGTAAGCAGCCCTCAGAACCTTCTGAGGTTTTCCTACAAATTGTCAGAGAAACACAAAATAAGGCACTGCTGTTCTTGTTAGATCTCTAACAACGGAAGCACAATTGGGTCTCCCACACTGCGTAGTTGTGCTTTTCCTCACACTCCAAATACTTTACAGGGTGGTCAGTAACCTTCGTTCTGTAGCAGGTAAGTGGAAATGTTTTGGGGAAGACTTAAGTGCCTTCTGTTTCTCAGACTGTTGAGGAAACGACAAGTTTGAAATACACTGTAAACCACATTTTGCTGTTACGCTTTCATGAGCAAGTTAGAGTCTATACTTTGATATTTGATCCAATAAATCTAACAGACTGTAACACAGGGGCTTCGCCACTTTCCTTAGGCACCTGGAAAACTGAATGCAATGTAGAAGTAGAACAGAAAGTCAGTTTGGCTGCTCCAGAAGGATTGAATTTTTGTCACTCCCCCCAAGGAGGTCCATGTTGCTGTTTTGTTTTTTCCTGGACTTTCCTAAGATAATGCTTTTAAAATAAACAAGAATCGATTTCTTTCTGAGAAAATCTTAAGGAATAAAATTAAAAGAGAAAATCCAAATAATCAGAAAAAAAACCCCTCAGCCAAATACTACTTCAGCTAATTGTTTTTAAAAAAATTAACGCCTCACGATGTTTCTTGGAATTCTTGCTGAAGGAACCTCTTACAAAGCCTACACTGATGAACCCCAGAACTAAACTGGAGGAAAAAGTGGCTGCTCCTGTGGAAGGAGAGTTCATGCTTTCAAGGTTAAATACACAGCAGAAAAGAATTATCTTTTTTTTTGCTACTATAATTTGTGTTTTGAAAAAAACCTGTATTTGAGAGTTTTTTACGTAGTACTAACTTCTACCTCACCTTGCAGATATAGCAAATCCTTAAGTGTGAACACACTGAGTATTTTTAAGATAGCTTGAATATAAACAAATTTTTAGATTGCCTGAATTTTTAATCACATTTTAATTTTTTGATACTCAAAATACAAGTTTAGGATTTTCCCAGATATCATCTAAATACAGGATAGTTAAGTTTAACAAAAAATAACTTTTTATGTGCTCAAAATGTAGACTGAAGGCCTGAAAAGGCAAAAGCACACATTCTGTCTCTGCTACAACATTTCTAAAACTATTTAACTGAAAGGCAGACAGCAAAGAGAGGTTGATGATATTTAAAAAAAAAAACAAACAAACCCAACACCATGGAACTGACCCTTTAAGTAATAGCAACTATGACAAGAGTCTACTGAAGGGATTATGTAGTATCACAGCTTCTGAATTCTAAATCATGTGTTTTGAGGGGAGGGGGGAGAACTGCATCAGACCAAATAATGATCAGGGTTTGGGCAAACCAAATAAAACCAAGTAATCAGCTTAAGTAAAACATTGGTTTCTAGCTAACAAGCCCAGTGCCCCAAATTACTTTCTCGAAATGGGCTGACAGTTCCTCCACTTAAATATTACCCGTCTTTAACTTTCCTTTGAAATTTGCCACAAATGCAGAGGTACTTTCCCTGATGTATTTCCTAGTAACCTTAATTTTCTGTGCATGGCCAAAGCTTGTGTATCAAATGCCCTAAAAAGTTGAGGAAAAAAAAGAAAATTAAAAAAAAAAAAGAAAAAAACATCAGTTGTGCTTTAGGTGAAGTTTAGACTTAATGCAAAGAATTATGTTGACTGAATTATGTTCATTGTATTGCAAACTAAGCACTAGCACTGTAAGCAAACTTTTCAGTTCACTTTAAATAATAAGCACAGAGTGCTCCCCCCACTTCTTACTTTTAGTCTTCAAGATTGAAGTAATTTGAAGTCACTTGACAGAGTTCTTGAAAATAAGGGTGCTGTAATGCTCCATGGGCTGCAATTCTCTCATCAGGATCATATTTTATCATTGCATACAGGAGAGAGAAGCCTTTGGGAGAAATATTGTGCACAAGAGGGGGTATTCCTTTTCCCTTTTTAAAGGGGAAATCAAAACTTACAATTCTCGACCTGTGTTAAGCAAGTTGAGAACAGTTATTCATGCGTATTCAGAGAGAATTACATTTACTGAAAAAATTATTCTCATCTGATTTAGGTAATCATTTCTTAGGGACAAGAAATACATTGGAAAAAAAATGTTTTCTTTCCTAACAAGTCATGTCATTAGCCTTAAAGATACTGTGGAAATAAAAGGCCAGGTAAGATTGACACAGGCTCAGATGTCCTCTGCTCTGCCTACAACAGTCACGGATGCATGACTGTCTCTGGGTAGGGACAGAAGACACTGCTCTGGGCAAGCAGCCATCACAACAGAACTAGATTTTTGTGGTGGTTCCCTGAGCAGAAATTGCACACGGTTGTACAGTTATATTGTGGATATTTAAACAGTGAGATTAGTAACTACGGGAGTGCATACTTACTGCTTGAACTTGTTGAGAGTTTTGTTAGCTGAAGTGCCTGTAACGTCATGGATTTTTGAAATTTGGTCCAGCTCATGAGATCCTGGAAAGAGAGGCTGAAAACTGCAAGGTAAGAGATAGTATTAGCAATAGAGAAGACACAATTAAACTAGTTTAAGTGGTATAGCTGGCACTGCTTAAAAAAAATTGTATGAGGAATAGGCATTTCAGAATTACTCATTTGTGGACAGTTTAATACCAACCAACAGCGGAAGGATAACTTGTGAGTAGCAGATCAGTACAACTGCATGTTTGAATGGAAAGAGTAGTTTGGGTTATTAAACAGAAACCTTTCTCCTCACAGGTTTGGGGTAAAATATGCAAAGAGAACATCCCTCCTGGTGAAAGGCAATGGATATGGGATTGTGTTTTCCTCTGGTGAAGTGGCAGATCCTGGAAGGCAACATATTTTCCTCATTTTAAGACAGCAGAGTCAAGCAGTTCCTCTTGCTGTGTATGCACATAGAAATACATATTTGTAAGAAACATTCCATTCCTAATACACAGGTTCTTTACAAGCAGCAATACTGGAAAGATTGTAGTTTGAACTGCGTTCCTGAGACTGATCCTCAGTTAATATAAAAGTTCCACAGAGTCCTTGAAAACATTATCATAATAGAGCAATCTGACTTACCAAGTTAAGTCCACTAACATTTGCTTCTTGCACATGTTGCTTTTTTCCATATTAGCAGAACATTTTCTTGGGTTTATAATTTAAGAAACGCTTCAGTAGCATTACATGATTCTTGAAAGCAGTCCTCTTTATAGAAGGGAGAAACTTCTTTTAACTGTTTGCAAATTCAATCAAACAGCTGGCTGCACACTCCTCTGAATGTCTTCATAAAGCTTTGAGTAGAGGAAGAGAGAAAAGAGATCTGATTCATGTTGTGCAGCTATATTAAGATAAGCAGTTGGTAGTAGCTTTTGTGTGAACTACAAAAATGTGCTGTCTCTAAATGTAAAACTGTAACATAGTGAAGAACAACTGTGCAATCCACAAAAAAAAAATGTAATCCAGGAACCATGGCTGGTGCCACAGACAGTGGTTTGGCTGCTTGAACCATGGGACTCACTTTGAGAAACCTGGCCTACTGGGGGCTGATGGATCCATCTGTCAGAAGGGGAAAAGCATCTTTGGTCATAGGCTTGTCAAACTGGTGAAGAGGCCTGTGAACTAAAGTTGCTGGGGGAGGGGAAACCTCCATCCATCCATCCATCCATCCATCCATCCATCCATCCCACTCCTACCAACTTGATGCCAGTGCCTGCATAGATGTCCAGAACCTGGAGAGGAGTCACAGGTGAGCAGGAGAGCACCTGAAGAGCAGCAGCCATTCCAGCCAGTGAGCAGCTTCATCGGGGGATCAATTTAAATGCCTCTATGCAAATGCACATAGCATGGGGAATGAACAAGAGGGGTTAGAGACATGTGCACACCTGCAGGGCTACAATCTTACTGGCATCATGGAGATGACAGGAGCATTGGAATGGAGGGATCCAGGCTCTTTAGGAAGAACAGGCAGAGCAGACCAGGTGGGGGTGTCACCCTCTATGTCAGTGACCAGCTGGAGTGCACATTGCTTGGCGTAGGGATGGGAAGGGAACCAATCGGGAGCTTATGGGTCAGGATTAAAGAGAGGGCAGGGACAGGAGATGTTACAGTGGGGATCTGCTGCAGGCTACCTGACCAGGAAGACTAAGCAGATGAAGGCCTCTATAGACAGATAGGAGCAGCCTCACATTCACAAGCCCTGGTCCTCATGGGGGACTTCAACAACCCCAATACCTGCTGGAGGGGCAACACAACAGGGCATAAGCAATCCATGAGGTTCCTGGAATGCGTTGATGATAACTTCCTTCTCCAAGTGACAGACAGAGAAGCCAACAAAAGAGAGGTGCTATGCTAGACTTTGTTCTCACCAACAAGGACGAGCTATTGGGAAGTGTGAAGCTCATGACTGCAGTGAAATGGTGGAGTTCAAGACCTTAGGGCAGCAAGGAAGGTGTGCAGCAAGTTTGCTACCCTGGACTTCAGGAGAGCAGCCTTTGGCCTCTTCAGGGATCCGCTTGACAGGGTAGCATGGGATATAAGCCCTGGAGGGAAGAGGGGCCCAAGAAAGCTGGTTAATATTCAAGGATCACTTCCTCCCAGCTCAGGAGTGATGCATCCTGACAAAGTCAGGAGGCCTGCATGGATGAACAAGGAGCTCCTGGACAAGCCCAAACATAAAAAGGAAGCCTACAGAGGGTGAAGCAAGAACAAACAGCCTGGGAGGGATACAGAGAAACTGTCTGAGCAGCCAGGGATCAGGTTAGGAAGGCCAAAGCCCTGATGGAATTAAATCCAGCCAGGGACATCAAGGGCAACAAGAAAAGTATGTTGGTGATAAAAGGAAGACAAGGGAAAACGTGGGCCTTCTCCATAAGGAAACAGGAGACCTGGTTACCCAGGATATGGAGAAGGCTGAGGTACTCAACTTTTTTACCTCAGTCATCACCAGCAAGGGTTTCAGCCACACTGCCCAGGATGCAGAAGGCAAAAGCAGGGACTGGGGAAGAAAGAACTGCTCACTGTAGAAGATCAGGTTTGAGATCATCTAGGGAACCTGAAGGTGCACAAGTCCATGGGACCTGATGAGATGCAGCTGTGGGTCCTGAGGGAACTGGCAGCTGAAGTGGCTAAGCTACTATCCATGATATTTGATAAGTCGTGACAGTTTGGTGAAGTTCTCACTGACTGGAAGATGGGAAACGTAACCCCGATTTTTAAAAAGGGTAAAAAATGAAGACCCAGGGAACTACAGGCCAGTCAGTATCACCTCTGTGCTCAGCAAGATCATGGAGCGGATCCTCCTGGAAACTATGTTAGGGCACATGGAAAATAAGGAGGTGGTTGGCAACAGCCAACATGGCTTCCACTAAGGGCAAATCATGCCTGATGAATGTGATGGCCTTCTACAACAAGGTTACAGCATTAGTAGATAAGGAAAGAACAACTGACGTCATCTACCTGGCCTTGTGCGAAGCATGAGACACTCTTGCACATGACATCCTTGTCTCTAAATTGGAGAGACACAGATTTAATGGATGGACCACTCAGCGGATAAGGAGCTGGCTGGATGGTCACGCTCACGAGTTGTGGTCGACAGCTTGATGTCCAAGTGGAAAGCAATGACAAGTGACGATCCTCAGGGGTTGGTACTGAAACCAGCGCTGTTTAACATCTTGGCTGGAGACATGGATCAAATATTCAATAGCAAAAACTGCAAGATGAACTTAAAAAGAAACAAACCTGTCCATAACTTCCTTTAGCTGAGCAAGACTATATCTTTTTTAATTCTATAATTTCTAATAAACATCTCTCATTTCTCTCTGAGCACATTTATCAAGTCTCTGAAAATGTGCAGTGGTTGCAAAGAATGAAAATTGTTACATTAGGCTAAAAGAATGAGGAAATATCTTTAAGGTTTTTTGCCTGAAGAAAACTCAAGTTTGCAGCGTGTAATTTTCTTGCCAAACTTCAAAGCTCACCTGATTCAAACTGAAATGGAAAAACATGGCATTTTTAAAGCTTTTGGTCCCAATTTACTTTGCAAGAGAACTGCCACATTTGGGATTTTTCTGTTAACAGTTTTCTGACCGAAGTAGAACTGTTTCTACAAGTTAGCAGGCCAAGCATAAGGGTTGTCATTTAATGTGATGGTGATGGCAGCAGCTGCACTTGCCATGTGGAGGAGGAGGAAAGAAGTAAAGCAAATGTTATCACTCCTGGTTGCATATCAGAGACAGCAGTGTGGGAGGAGAATAAAGAAGAGCTGCTGCTGTTGCTAGGGCACAAAGATATTGGAGAAATACTCATGGTGGTTATTTTTCCTTTTTTTCCTTGAAGACCAGTGACAAATTTTTTGAGTTCATTTTTATAGTCATTGAAAAGCTTAAAGGACTTTAATCCAGGTTTTCCTGAACTCTTCCTTCATCAGAATCCAACTTCAAAATATTCCAGGACTTAAGGTCCTGGCACAAGGTTCTTAAAACACACTTATATTAGAAATCAAAGTATTAAGTCAGATGGAGTGTCTTAGCTAATCTCCTCTGATTTTGCAGAATAGTAAGTCAAAAAAAAAGAAGGAAAAATTTTACCATGAAGTGCATTAACAAGATTGGGTATAGTTAGTGATGCTCATGACAGGAAATGAGCCATACTCTATAAAGCAGAGAAAACACATTTTTACCAAACTCAAATATGAAGCCAATGGACAAAAACCCAAAATGCAAACCAAATGACAAAACAAGTAAATATTTCAAAAAAATGTCATTTTACTTGTAAATAATATTTGTTGGTACTATGTTCTCTTGAATGTCCCACTGCTTTATTACTAACCTGCCACAGGGTGAAGAGAGTGCCAGACAAGACAGGATTACTGCCGCATGAACCCTACAAACTAGTCACAGAAGCTTCCACAAAACCATGGAGATTATAATACCCATACCACATGCTCCTTATTTTAGTTGTTTACCTTTGATTTTCTTGATTAATAATAAGGAAGACCCTCCACTGAACAATGCACCTTGTGATTTCACAGAAAACACAGCCAGCACGCCACATAGCAATTTTACAACTATAGTAGCCATTTGTAAGTAAGCATTCAGGTGTTCAGTACCAGCATGCAGAGATACATTCTTGGGGCTGCTTAGAATAGATGCTCCTACAAGATCGAAAATCTCCTAACTTCAGGATATTCTGCTGCAAAAATAAACAAAGTATTTTGACAAATTAGAAACACTGAAATATTCAAGCAAAGATTTTCCTTAAACTCAGGAAGTAGTCACTGAAAAAGAAATCACAGATTACTTTAATAAACTTTCAGAAATTCCAGGGGTAGTATGATAGCAGTAAAACAGCATTTAAATAGCACATAGCTCCAGGCTTGAAGATACCTGTGTCCCATAATATGTGCAAATACCATTCCATGCATCATTAAAAGAAAAGACCTAAAAGTTAACTGAAAAGCATATAGACTATTACTGAAGGGAAGACTGTTAAATAGGTCATCTGGATTAAGTTATTTTCTTAGAGTTCTTGTATTTAGCAGTGATACAATAGGTGACTTTGGCTTCTCTATAATGGCTACTCCTGTCCACTTCTAAGACTTAAAAGAAAAACTTATCTCCAGAAAATAAAATTTCATAAACAGAATTTTGAAATCCTTGCTTTTCAGACATAAGCAAAATAATATTCTGAAACTGTCAGAAAAACAGATTTCAGAGAAGAAACCTTCTGAAAGCTAATACCTTGTGCTCACTTTTGTATGAATAACTTCCACTAAACATGGGAATTGAATGCAGAAAGAAAGAACTGCAGAACTGAACTCTACCACTTGTTTCCAGGTTAACACTGAAAGAAAAATATATACTAATAGAGGATAAAGAGCAGGTTTTTAGATTGGAGTGACCACATGCAGGCTGTAATGCATCTGATCCATTTCAGGTTTTAGCCAGTAACAAGCTTGCTTGTTCATTCCTCTAGATCAGGAATGTGGTACTAGAGGTAACTGTCTGTATTTTTTAAAAAAACTGTCCTTTTATTCATGAAAAAGCACTACCTTCTCAGAATAAAGAGAAAAATACTGATAATACTTTCCTTTCAGTTAAATATTCTCACATACAAGTAATTACCTTTATTAATATGTTTTCTGGTTTCACGGCTCTGTGAAATATCCCATTTCTGTACCAATATAAACACACCAGAGAGAAGAGTTCAGTGAAAAGATAAACATTATCAGTGCTTCCAGTTATTTGTAAAAATAAATACTTAAAGAAACCAACACTTTCTTCAAACTCATCAACAGCATAGTAAAAAGCCCCAGAATTTTGCCGCTGTGGTGAGACAACAGCTACAGTTATGAGAACTGGGGAAAGGGCAAGTCCAGGAAGGCGAGGCCAGGCTTTCTGCTTTGCTCTCACCAGGGTTACCAAAGGACTGCAAGGGCCACCCCTGCCCAGGAGGCTTCCTGCAGCAGGTCCAGAAGTTCTTTGGGGTGCTGGCAGCAGCACGGGCTGCCTGCTTGCTGCCTTCCAGGGCTCTGCTATAGGCAAAGATCTATCTGGGCAATGGCCTTTTTTCTCCCTGCAGCAGTTTGCTGCCCCAGCAGATTCTCTGCTTAGAGATGACCCTGAAACAAATGTATGATACATTTACTGTAAAGCTGTTGCTCAACCAGGTCTCTTACCTATATGTAGTCAAGAGATTTGCATAACTGGTACATGTAGTTCTTGATTCTTTTTTTCCAGGTAATGGTTTTCTTCTTTCTAGAATTAAATTTCAAGTCATACAAATACTTAACAAACAACATAATACAAAAAAATTAGTCTTCAGCTTCCAGTAGTGCATTGATATTTTCCAATTATACTATTTCTGTCATTTATAGCTAGCTTTGTAATCCATTTTCCACTCAATTTCAGACATAATTTAGATTTCAGTATGCACCAGAATAGCTCAGCTAACAACTGTCAATTCAATAGTCTGTCATCTGCCTCAGCTTTTACTGCGTGTTTTTCTTGCAGTATCTGTTTCCCCAAGTTCTAACAAACTGCAATATGTCACTTCTAAACATCTAATTTCCTCTCTAAAGTAGCTATCCTTAAGGTTCAAGATTCATATCAATCACCTCAAATTACTGCAATGCTTAAATGACCGATTCATGTTTGACTTGCAAATTAAAGGTTAACCTATGTAGTTTAGCTTTCTATTGCCACTGTGCAATAATGACAGTTATAAAATTTATCTTTTTTCAGAGCCGTTCAGTAACTACTCAGCTTTTTTCTTTCATAGGCTCCAAAGGCCTTTTAAGCTTGCTGTAATGCCTTTATGTAACGCTGCAATGTCATCAAGGCAGGCAGAAATGATCACATTTTTGAAAAACAAAGCAGGTACTGATCTGCCTGATGACAGTAGTATGAGTAATTGCCTGGGGAGGAGGAGAGATTATCAGGACACTAACTCATTGAGGCTGCAAGTCCTAGCAGCCAGGGGACTTGTGTTCCTAACCGATTACAGTACTCCTCCAGTCAACCACATAATCCACCGTGCAGGATTAGATAACAAAGCACTTGAAACGGAGTACCATTTACATCGGGAATTGTAGTATTATTACCCCAGTAGAGGTAAATGGTGTTTTCAACATTAGGATTTTTGTCTTTTATAGTAGAAAAGATTTTATAAAATACAGCTATTCAAACCCACTCTGATTATTATTCGTATTTAAAAATTCAGGCCTTCATAAAGAGAAGTCAAGCTTGATTGTTTTCTTATTACAGGTCACTAGTAAAATCTGGAGCAGATGCTCTTCTACCTCCAGATTTATCATTAGAGAAACTTTAGTTGGAAATAACAATGAAGCGAATCATAAGGCAGCAGCACTTGAGGCTACAACTGGTTTTGCTTGAAGCATCTTCCTCACCTCTCTCTGAGCCGTATTTTTTTCATTGCTTTAAATGACCGAAGTGTTCTTGATTAAAGAAAAAGACAGGACTTTTTCCGTTATTAAATGACCTGTGATACCACTACATTAATAGCAGGAGTATTGTGACTTTGTGTAAAGACAAATAGCCTTGTCTTGATTGAAATAACATTGATCTGTCAGTTTATTAGGGAAAAAAACAGGAGGATCAACTTTCCACATTAGTAGAATTACAGTGAACTGTTCTAATTACAGAAGATTTAGAAATTAATTTTCAGTCAACCCTTGCTTCAAGTTTTTCCTTACAAAATTTTGTACAAACCATGCTTGCCTCTAGATTTTTTCCAACTTAAAGCTTCAAGTTGTTCTGGACCCACACTAAACTTCATTTTGCAAGATTCAGAGTAGTCAGAAAATGACAAACATTCACAGTACTGTAGCCTGTAGAAATTTACCAAAAAATCACCTCAAATGTAACTACTTTTGTACACTCTAAAAACTGTTTTGTGACAGACCATCGCTAATGAACACAATTTAATTGTTCTACAAATTAATAATTCACTCCTTCAAATCACAATGCTGAAAATTCAAAAGGAGCTCCTTCTACTTGTCACTGTTATCTAATATTCTCATCTGATAAGTATTCTGGCTCAGAACTATGATTAATTTTCCAATTTAATTACGTACTTGAAATCTTTGCCATATTTATTGTTTGAAACGTCTGCCACATGTTACATTTCTTGACTTTGCAATAAGACACAAGTAGAGTTGTTTGGGGGAGAAAATAAATAAAACACTCTTTCTGCCCCCTAGAAAATTGTGGTGTTGACACATCCACTTTGAAACTCCAAAATTAATTTCTGAAAAATGCAAAACACTTAGCATAAATGAAATACTTTAATACTCCCAAATATCAAAATTATTATGATCTCCATAGGAATCTGTTGTTTGTTTTCCCATTTTATTCTATGATTTGACAAGCTCCACCCCACATGGCACCACCTTGTACAAGGTGAAAAAAAAAAGACACTATCATGGGAAACAAAGTCCAGGCACAAAATCCAGACCATAAAGAAGAACCAGCAGTTTAAAGAAGCTCAGATGGACCCAGATTAATGTTTAGATAACCCTTAATTGCAGCATTTCAGATTACAGTTGAACACAGATTTCATTTTTAACTGATTCACCATGTCATAAGAAAGGAGGTCTTTAAAACTAAGTGGCAGGAAAACAATCTTATGGAAAACTTGAATTTGATAAAAACGGTATTTTAAAATTAAAAAAACATAGTAGAACATACTGAAACTATTAGACTAATTTCCAGCTGTATACAATGCTTAATGCGGAAGGCTTTTTCACATGAAAAGAATGAAACACTGAAAAATGTAACCAAATGAAAGCAAATACTCTGAGGTTAAAAACAAACAAAAAAAAGGGCAGTTCAAGAACAAATCTAAACATTCTGATTTTTTATAACTGAAGTACAGTATCTTTCCTGGAAGAAGATGATGCAGGATTGTTTTTAATGCACTGGACTAACTTACTATCCAATGAGTTCTCCTTCCTATATGCTATTACTCTGGCTTTACAACTTAACAAATTTATTCTGGAAAATATTAAATTATTATTATGGAAAATTATCTAACCCAGCAAATATTCATGTCGGCTTCGGCAAACAACTGTATTTTAACCTCAAATTCTTATCTAGGTCAGGAACAGGGTTATTCCTTTTGTTAGAGATATGAATATTCAGTGTCACTAACATTATGTTTGGGAGAAAGTCTTTTTATCTATTCTGTTGCACTGAATGACAGTTGCATGCTCAGTTACTTAAATGAATCTCCCAACTGTTAAGACATTATAAATTTTTAATTATTCAGAAAAAAAATCCTCTTTTAATACTAAATTATAAGTAAGTGCCCCTTCATTTGTTGTAACCAACTCATTTGGTGTCTGTATGAGGTGTGATTTTAAATCAGCTTTTGTTCTATACTTTTTTGTAGGATCTCCTACTTAAGCTTTATTTACTTTGAGGAACAGCCCCAAAATTTTTAAATACAGAAGGTTTCAGGCAACAATGTTATTTTCTAGAGAAAACTTGGTAAACAGCTTTTACTGGCTATAAAATCTAAAAATTATTATTCATTGATTCAGTAACTTTTGAAACAAATGAGAATTATTTTTTTGTTACATCATTACAGTCCTGACCCAACAAAGGTTCTATTTAAATTGTACTTTTTTTTTTTTTTTTTTTTAAACATAAAGCAATTATTTTGTGCTTTGCAGTCAAGGTTGTTTCCCTGTTTTCATGCAAACTTTGAGCGTAGAAAGAGATGGTCACTGACTCATTAGAAACCTTCTGCATGCATCCATGCCTTAAACAAGTGGGTATATCACACTGGAAAGAAATAAGGAGTAAAGCAGTATGGCACAAAATTTCCCTATAATTTTTATAATAGTAACTGTGAACAACCAAGGGAAAATTAATTCATTCCACTTTGTGATCTATACAAGAAAGGTTCATGTGTTTCTTAAGCTTATGCTACATACCTTTGATCAGCTCACAAATATTCAGTTCCAAAAGTTCACATATCAGTGAAAGGGAGCCAGCTTTTTATCTTTGAAGAAACAAATAAGAAGACTTTAACCTAGAAATGCTCATTTGTACACAGCGTAGAGAAGAGTACTTAGATTAATCAGTATTAAAATGGACATTTTCATTTTTAATTGATACTTCATCATAGAAGTTTTTCAACTTAGGGTCTGAGGTATCATAGTTTTAGGTTATACTATGCAAAGTGTCTGTTGCAAAAGTTAACTGATTTACTCCATGAAGTTATTTGCAGGCATGTTTTCTGGGCATATCACACTTAAATATCAAGAATATTCCAGTAAATTAACTGATACAATCTTACAATAAAAGACAGGAAATCCATTATGCCACATATGAAAACACTTTCTAGTTAAGTTACCTGTAAGTTACCTGTACTGTTCTGTTGCATGGAAATGAGTACCTGTCTGGAATCTGTGTTTTGCTGACAACAGCAGTTTTAAGTATTTTCATGATATGATAATACACCTGACAGTTTATTTTCCATTTCGCTGCCCTGCAGAAGCAGACATCTTTGAGTCTTTACTTTTTCTTATGTGATAATTGCATTAAAGCACATCCCCTCTGCAATGTTCCATTAACCCAGACAGCAAAAGGTTGAGAGTACAATCTGCAGTTCATTTTGCAGACAGACTGTGAAAGAGCTAGGCGAGCTGGCTGCCCATCTGGATTACACTTCGTTAACAACACGGCAGCTGAAGCTGAGAATTCCAGAAAGCTCAGCTGCTGACATGATTAGCGGCTTTCCATATATTTGTAGAAAACGGGCTTGTCAATAATGGTATAGTATCAGAGCCTTAAGCAGAGGAATAAGACAGCCTGAAAAGCAAGCAAAAATTACTTTAGAGCAGTCAACAAGTTTTGTGTCAAGTATTTGAATAATGGAAGTATACGTGTGCTGTTGCATAGCAAGTGTAACACACAGCAATGGAGTAAGCGTCGTCATAAAACCTGATCTCTTTATGAGAAGGAATATGTCCCCAGAAGACACTTAAGTCCCTAATGAAGCTAAGGAACCCAACTTCATCACAGACTGATCTCTTCCCAAATTTGTACCTCAGCTGCTGCCTAATGCAGAGATACAAACTTCTATTATTTGCAAAGGGGTGTCTGTAAGGTTGCCCATAAAATGATACTGCTAAATCTCTACTTGCCTCAATCTCTAGTTCAAACTGACAAGTCAAACCAAGATCCTTGAAGCACCAGAGCCTATTCCAGAAGATAAGCTCTGAGTGTGCTGAACCAAAATACTGTCTGCAGTAGACACAATGCTGTGCAGTTAAATTATTCATTGGATATGGAACATGGGTTGAAATCACCAGCAAGTATTACATATTATGATATTAAGTTTAGCTATGCTTAAAATGTATCTGGTCTGTGATTTTAATACTGATGTTGAAATATTTCTGGTCTGCTGCAGAAGAGTCAAAGTGAGAGCAACATGAGACTTTCTCAACAAAAAAGATGTGTCAAATTCTGAAGTCTTCACACATTTATTGTTTTTTTCTGTTAGAATAACATGCTGGTTAAGTGCCTACAGGTGGCCTCTAGACCCAAAAGTTACTGGATATCATTCAAAGAAAGGAATAAGGAAGAAAGAAATGAATGCACCATGCTTACAGAACAACTTCATGTAACAAAAAACTGTTAGGATACAGACTCAGGCTCCTTAGTGTTTGTATTTCTCTCAGATTATGCACTTGTTCCATACCAAAGTTGAATTAAAAAAGAAAAGAGGAAGGTTGACTTGCAGTCAGGGATGGATTATAATTGTCTTTCTTCCCTGCCAAGAGACTGTCAGAACCTACTCTACTTTAGTCTGTAATTGAACATTCAAATGCAGGACCTGATAAATTGTTTGCCTGCTTTTTTTTCTTTATGGAGCAAATCAGTAATCAGGAAAATGGCTTTATTCCTTTTTGCAGTCTGGAGTAGCTGGATTTACCCAAACAAGATAAGTAGTAATGTGCTGTGCTCCAGACATCAGTTACCATGCCGAGGAGCTATGTGAAGGAATTTTGTGTTGCATAATAGTACATACAATACTGCTTATTCTGCGCTGGTGTAGCACACATTCCAACTACTGCGCAGCATGATGCTGAAAGCAACCATCTAGCCTTGCCAAATTTAACCATTAAAACTAAGTTTTGATAGTAACCTCTTACATGAAAGATAGACACTACTCAACTATTATTTAACTATTACGTTGCCCTCCTAGACTTTAATAAAAAATAAAACTACATGCTACAGAAACTCTGGGGAGGAAGTGGGAAACAAACAGCTTTGCTCACTATTTAATGGATCAGAACAGGGCATATATGCCTTTTCACAGACCTAAAGCTAAACACCAAAACAGTATTTTCCAATGTGAAACTATGAGAAATACCTTGTATAGTCAGGTTCTGTTTAAAACATTGTTAACTGTTGCTAAAAGAGTTCATTGCATCAAAAGAATTTGTCAATTTGTCAAAGAGTTAAAGGCCTAAAACATGTTTTAAACATGCTACATGAAAAAAAGAGTCTGCTTGTTATGCCCTACCACTGAACTGTACACCATCTGCCCTTGATACAGTTAAGCAGTTAGTTTAAATACTCTTTTGATCATAAACTAGACAATTTGGTCAGTTGTAGGTAAAGTATAAATGAACCAACAGTCTCTAACAACACAACAGAGAATCAGAAGCTGCATTACTTGAAGATATTTGAGTTTTGTTGGTTTTTTTTTTTAAACGTACTGTCTTTGAAGCTGAGTTACATTGTGGAATCTCAACTAAGAGCAAAATGTCCTTCCTTACTTCCTATGTATAAATGTGTCACTCCCACTGATCTCACTAGGAACTTAATACATTTCACTGAGAATACAAAGTCAGTGACCCAAAAGGCATGGTTTGACACGTATAGGAGGAGAATGTCAAGTCTACGTCTACTTCCACACAGCCCTCTCTTCTATTTTCCTCACTGATAAAAAGCACCTATTTTGTGACCACAGAGTGTCTTGCTGATGGATGTAATTAAATATAAATGCAAATACAAAGTAGTACTAATGCTATACAGGGACTAAGTATAAATACAGATGTTTTCAACTTGCATTAAGACAGTATTTAAAGTAAAATTTTAAAAAGGATTGTCCAGGTAGAGGACTGGTACGTTTTCTCCTCTTATTATTTACAGCAATAAGAAAACCAGCACAAGTATATTCAGTGCATTTGGAAAGGCAGAAATCAACTATTTAGTCCTCATTCTTCTCACTCCACCATCAATCAAGTGGTGAGGCAACATTTAGTACAGTGGATGACATCAGAGTACTCAAGGAAATAACCCCAATGCCAAATGGGAAGGCCCTACATAATCAGCAGCAGAGTTCTCTTTCTGTACTACATGCAAACCATTTGAATACATGTGTATTCAAAAAACACCAAGTCTTAATTTTGCATTTCTCCACTGAATTTAAACAAGATTTTCTGTAGTACTATGATTAATTATGCATACCTTTCAAAATGTTGCTTCATGTGTTTACATGGATAGTACTTTCCATCCCTATGACTCAGTGTCTTCAGAACATCAGAAAATGTTCCCTCTCCTATATCACCAACTGATTTGCATTCTAAAAACAAAAATATACTGTTTCAATATGTTTAAAATAGAAATTGTTATGAAAACTGCATATCAAGCCATACTTGATTTTCTAAATTCTGACCAATAGAAAATTTTTAAATAGAAGGGTTTTTTGTTAACACATAATATATTTATAAATGTCTTAGACAATAAAGTACTACCTCCTTGCTTGAAAACATGATGCCTCTGCACACAGCACTTCATACTTTTTTTTCTGCTACAGCACATTAGCAACACATACCTGAACTTATTCTTTGTAAATTTTTTTTTTTTGTGAAAAAAGCATTGTACTGAAAACATAAAATTACCTTGAAAAGCAAGTGTCTTGTCATTGTTCCAGCATGCGTTTTTGGTTGTTTTGGTGGGGTTTTTTTTTGGGTTTGGGTTGGGTGTTCTTGTTTGGTTTTGGGCCCCCCCCCCCCC